GAAATCCAATTAGGTATATTCCCCTTTTTGTCCTTTGTCAGGCGTAGTCTTCCACATAACCCATAAGTATCCTGTTCGGAGTTTGGTATAAATAATAAATACTATGTTGTTTTGATCAAAAACAGTAATTTAAAAGCGATTTTGTGAGCTTTCGAACACTTATGTTTCCTTTGTCAAGCAAAGAGTGCAAACGAGTGGGTCTCGACTCTAAACCTTTGAACACTACCCACTAATCCACAATGCACCAAAACAGTAAACACGTCTGTCAGAAAATATCGAGATATTCCGCCAAATAACATTCTAATACTACAGGCAGTCAGAGGAACGGGTAATGTGTTTACTCTTGACCGCCCTTAGTGTCATCTATATGACCCCATTTCAGCATCCACTAAGATTTAAGACATTGGTCATTTGCACTCATTGCAGGCAGGTTCTAAACCACCCTTAACCCGGACACACAGTTGCGCTTATCATTGGTCAATCCTATTGATTGTAAATGTAAAAGAAATCTTAATATTACCTTGGACTTTTGTTTCAATGGACGTGATGTTTGTATGGTAACCTAACACATATAGAATAGTCAGCGATTTTTTCTGACTCGGGTATTCACCTGAATGGGTTAGAGGTTGTGATTGATATAAATAATCGATTTCTGAATTACTGCATACCCAAGTCGCAGTATGATATATTTAAACAGGAGATCCCAAAGGGATCATAGTGCCCACCATCGTACCATCTTCATAGGCTCTATGTAAGATAGGTCTTTACTATTTCATTTCTCTTTTCTGTTGGATCGTACCATGCAAACAGTGTTTTCGTCTTGTGGGAACTATTGATAAAGGTTTCATACTGCTGTGTATGACATTTTTCTTTCAAACCGAGGTTTTCGTTTGACCTAGTAACTAGAATGTTTTTTCATTTGTAACAAAGGGAACTAAATTAAGAAATTTTAGAAAAAAAATCTTTTGTAATTCTTTGGAAATAGTGATAACAATCTAGAACTGTCAAATTCCAAAATGGCTCTCTGAACAACAGATTTAACGCAAGCGTTTACTAACGCAGAAATAGAGGTTAGCGACTGGTTAAACTTAACGACTTCGTTAGCTTAACGATAAATTTGAACAACCGGGCCTGGTGACCATCCTGTTTTCCGGTCAGTCCCTAAATTAATATGCATAACAATGAACTATTGGGAAGCTTTATGTGAGTTTGGAAAATATAAATACAGTACTATCTGATTAATAGCGTTAAATTGTTTTAACCTCAAAACTCAAGATGGCCGCCTGTCGGTCATCATGATTTTCTTCTCCAACAGTCACCAAATTCAGAATGCATAATAAGTAGGGACAATGCGGGAACCATAAGTGTAGTTTGAAAAAAAGATCCCTCCATTGCTTCTCGAGAAAAAAAATTACAATTGTGTATTATTTCTATGATATATGTATGTTGACAAAGTGGTTTGTTTTGGTCTTATGCATTGCAGCTGTGGTTTAAGTTTCTCCTTGTGTGTTGACGAGGTGGTGTCTTTTGTCCTTATGTGTTTTTACTAAGGTATATTTTGTCCTTGTGTGATGACCAGGGGGTGACTGTTGTCATTGTTTATTGTAACTATGGTATACGTTATCCTTGTCTGATCCTTGTCGAGAGGGTCTCTTTTGTCCTTATGTTATGATAATACGGTATATGTTGTCCTTGTTTGTCGACGAGGGGGTCTCTTTTGTCCTTGTGTATTGTTAATACGGTATATGTTGTACTTGTGTTTTGACGAGGGGGTCTCTTTGGCCTTGTTTAATATTAATTCGGTACATGTTGTCCTTGTGTGATGAACAAGTGGAGACTTTTGTCCTTGTGTATTGTAACTGTGGTAAAAGTTGTCCTTGTGTGTTGACAAGGTAGTGTTTTTTGTCCTTGTGTGATGTAACTACGGTATATGTTGTCCTTGTTTGTCGTCGAGGGGGTCTCGTTTGTCCTTGTGTAATGTAACTACGGTATATGTTGTCCTTGATTGTCGACGAGGATGTCTCGTTTGTCCTTGTGTATTGTTACTTTGATCTATTAAGTATTTTTTACTGAAGGTAAACTATATATGGTGACAATGCTCCAATTATAAACTGCCAATCCCATTGTTCAGAATAACATAGTCGGAAACACTAGGAATACACTTCTACATTTCAATTACCAGAATTCGTATGTGCTTATTAGTTTTTTTTGAAACAGACTCTAACTTGTTTTATTATACGGTATACCGGGATACTTTCGACCAGTCAATACATGTCAATAAAATTCATGTTCACCCAGTGTTAATTCCGCCATTCACATATACTTACTATACATTATATGTTGTGTACTGATATCCGCTGTCATGATACATTTGCTTTGTCAAGGGAGGGCGACAAAAGAGAATGTTAAAGTACGGCGAAAATTTCCCGGTAACCAGTAATTTGCAACACATAGTGCAGCATTGAAACTCTATTACAACGTATATGACCCTCCAGGGGTTTGATTGGTCAAGAAATTTAGACTGGGACTATTTTTTCACGCGATTTGTGCCATGTGCTGTTTTGCTTCCGTCGTCTGCTGTCAGTATGGCTGCTTTGCATGATGACGTGCTACTGGCAAATGTTGGTGACTTTATGAGTTAAACGATGGGGAAAATGGAGATAATTAAGCTATTATCAAAAGAGAGATAAATTCTTTTAGATTTGATCGCTATGAAATGGAATCATTTTCAGGCAAAATTGCTACGGAGGCTTGATATCGTTTCAACGTCATACCGTCATGTCCAGGTCGTGAAACGGGAAGTCAATCTGTGACAGTAAAAGAAACTTTCAGAAATATATCGCCATCCGTTTTAAAAATTCACAGCAATTTTAGCGATAAGTCTGACATTGATTCACTAGACGATACAGATATCAATGTCTTTTTTTGCATCAGTGGTAAACAAAAATACAAAATAAACAACGGATGGTGACGCTAGGAAAGTACAAGATTTCTTACAAAATGTCCTCAGAAAAAAATGACCGTTTAAAAGAAAAAAAAACGTACATTTAAACAAGTTACTCTTAACGAAATCAGAAGGATGACGAATATGAACCCGCATATATCAGAAATATCATATGCAGCATTGATCAGTATTTGAAAAAGAAAGATTACGGCAAGCAGATCGCAACAAATTCCAAGTTTTCAATAGTAATGGCGGTGATTCATTAAAAAAATAAAATAAACGTGAGGGTAAAGGTAATCAAGATAGGAGAGTCCATGCCATTACTGACAAAGAATAGATATTGATAAGACTTACAAATCACGTCAACTGGGGACCGGTAGCCCTGAAAGTTTGATACAAACAATGCGGCTCCAAAATATTATTCGATTTGGTATTGGAGGTGTTGATGAACTCCGGGATTAGCGATGGGGCGATGGACAATTACGTAAGGTTTCGGAAAATAATGAATATATTTAAATCTCTGAATATCTGACGAAAACTAGACCTGGTTCTGACCCTAAACATGTGAGAGCCGTTCTTCCACGTGTCTTGGTAACCCCCAGAACCCATATCGGTGCTCTGTCGCCACATATAAAGCCTACTAAGCCCGTCGCCCACCTACATACTGCGTCCCAGATGACCTCTTTTTTTGTGGCAAGAAACACAAATTCTAAGAAATCCAGCAAATCGTTCAAATGTTAGTCAGTTGAAAAAACAAGTTTGGAAAATAATCACAACAGCAAAAAATGCAGGAATGTATAAAACTGTTTTAACCTACACAAACACTCAGTCAATTCAGTGTTAACAAAAGCATCCCGATTAAGTCCCTCCCCATTTTCTTTTGGTCTACCAGAAACTTTGCCTACGTCACACAACACTAATATGTTTTGGCCCTACCGACCAATCATCCGGTATCGACGTGTCGTTACCTATGCAAGTATATTGTGTAGGTCAATTGTCACATTGGTCTCGGCTTGTTCAATCGATCAGGTATTTAAATCGAGCACACACAGACGTTAGGAAGAAAAACGGTATGGAAATCGCGAATTGCATTGTATATAGTGCTGGTCTCATCAAAACAAACTGCAATGTTAATATTCAAATGAATAGCTGTGTATATATGCTAATAAATAAAGGGTATTGATTACACCTTTCATAAAAAGTACTATCTGGTAAATAAAGACGCCCATAGTAACAGTAACTAGATTATCGTCTGGTAAACATAGAGCCCATAGTAACATACCAGATTATCGTCTGGTAAACATAGACGCTCATAGTAACAGTAACCTGATTATTATCTGGTAAACAAGGACGCTCATAATAACAGTAACCAGAATACTGTCTTGTAAACAAAGACGTCCCATAGTAACAGTAACTAGATTAATTTCTGGTAAACAAAGACGCTCATAGTAACAGTAACCTGATTATTATCTGGTAAACAAGGACGCTCATAATAACAGTAACCAGAATACTGTCTAGTAAACAAAGACGTCCCATAGTAACAGTAACTAAATTATTGTCTGGTAAACATAGACGCCCATAGTAACAGTTAACAGAGTACTGTCTGGTAAACATAGACACTCATAGTAACAGTAGTGACAATAAACAGATTATTGTCTGGTAAACAAAGACGCCCCTAGTAACAGTAAACAGATTACTGTCTGGTAAACATAGACGCCCATAGTAATAGTAACTAGATTATTGTCTGGTAAACATAGACGCCCATAGTAAAACCTGAATGATGTCTGGTAAACAAGGACGCTCATAGTAACAGTAACCAGATTACTGTCTGGTAAACAAAGACGCCCCTAGTAACAGTAAACAGATTATTGTCTGGTAAACATAGACGCCCATAGTAATTAAATATTCTCGCGGTTCGACAGTATAGAGAGAATTATTTGTCTTCTCGGGCACGGAGATATCGTGCAGGCGGTTTGCCACGTGGGAACACGGGTGTGTAGCGTGTATACGCTGTAGTGGTCATTCTCACAAAATGATACGCTGGGGCAATTAGACAGTCTAATATCTCAAAAATTAGGCTCGTTTGAAAGGAAGGTGTGCGAGAATTCTGAGGCGTCGTTGGAGAAAATACAGCAGTCGATACTAAATGCGGACACTTACAAATTTAATATGAAAAGTTGTGAGGTGCAGCATAAATTTAATTCCAAAGTACGGGCTAAATTGGTGGACGCCACGCATTCTTTAATGTCGGACCCAGATACAACGCGTAACAAAATAGAAGAAGGTATGTCAATGTTAGACTATCGGAACAAGCTGGTTAAGCTAGCGGACAGTTCTGAGTCCGGCTGGAAAACGGTGGATGAGTACATAGCGAATCCTATAGCATCAGACTCGGACGATGAGAAGAAAATGGACCGAGCGATATCCAGGGCTAATAAAAAAGTTAAAGCGGCGAAAACAAAGTCGACGCGTGGGAGGAACAGATACAGGCCTTATCGTCGGGAGAACACGGAGACGAGGAACCCCATGACTATAAGCCCAGCGAGAGAGAGACAGGGATATTTCCCCAGGAGTGTCAACAAACCCGGCACCTGTTTCGGCTGTGGAAAGGCTGGGCATTGGCGACAGGAGTGTCCTGGGGTCCATGGAGGGGTTTCGAACCCATCGGCTCATAAGATAAGTAGATCTTTGTTTACTATGCATGTGCGAACATCAGTCATAAACGAGAACAAGCAGGTAAGAGATGATAAGTGTTGTCCTGTACATAAGGGTAATGGTACAGAAACTGAGCGTTCGCCGGTCGGACGTTTGAAAGGTAGTATTCAGTATTGGGAGAAAAAAGGTACCAGTGAGGCGGTTCTCTCCATAATAGAGAGTGGATACAAACTCCCATTTAGGGAAATTCCGCCAAGTGTGGTATTGTCGAATAACAAGACTGCACGGGATAATCCCGACTTTGTTAAAGCAGAAATTGAAAAGCTATTACGACTTGGGTGCGTGACAGAAGTACCGTTATGTCCAGCTGTCGTAAATCCGCTGACAGTAGCCTTCAATAAGACAGGTAAGCCACGCCTAGTTCTGGACTGTAGACACATCAATCCGTATTTGCATAAATTTAAATTCAAATATGACGACGCTAAAGTAGCGAGGGAGGTGCTTCAGACGGGTGATTACCTGTTTACTTTTGATTTGAAGTCTGCATACCATCATATTGAAATTTTCTCAGAACACAGAAAATTTCTTGGTTTTCAATATGAAATAGAAGGTAGGACGCGGCAATACATCTGGAATGTTCTCGCATTCGGTGTTTCTACAGCAGCATTTCAATTCTCAAAGGTTTTGAGAGAAGTCGTCAAATCTGTTCGTAGTGCAGGTCATAGGCTAATTATGTATTTGGACGACGGTATCGGGGGTCATGAGACGGAAGGCGGGGCCAATGAGGTAAGCAGGTATGTTAAGCAGGCTTTAACGGATTACGGCTTTCTCCTCGCTGAAGAGAAATGTCATTGGAAGGCATCGAGATGCGCTACCTGGCTAGGGTATACATGCAGCGGTGGATCCAGAGACCTATCTGGGAGGGTTTCCAAATTTCCTGGGGGGTTTCCATGTTGGAAAAAATTGAGGAAAATGGTGAAAATATATGATTTTTAAAGAAAAATCTCAGGGTGGGGGGGTTTCCTGAAGCCCAAAAAACCCCTCTGGATCCGCCACTGTACATGGTCTATGGAGGTAGGCGTGGTCAGGGTTACTACAGACAGGATTGATCGGCTTTTGTATTGGTTATCCAATACAATGACACAGGTCACACAAAGAGGTCAGGTATTGTTCTCCGTCCGGTATGTAGCGGCTTTGGTCGGCCGAATCATATCTATGCAGGGTGTGGTTGGGTCCGTCGCTCGTTTGCGTACTCGAGCGTTGTACACATGTGTATTATCTAGAGCAAGTTGGAATGCGCGTGTTATGCTTACGGCAGAGGCTATTGACGAGATAGAATTCTGGTTGTTAAATGTGCAATCCATGAACGATAAAGGTTCTACATTATTGAATGAGCACGCAGTGTGTGATGTTGTGGTATGCACGGACGCATCTGCAGTGGGATACGGGGGATATGTACAAGAGGTGCATGGTGAGTACAAACACGAGGGTGATTTAGATCAGATAATCGATATTGGTTACGGTGAGTTTGTATACACACGTGATGGTGTACCGTTAGATGAACACGGTGTTGTCATTGGTGTACATGTAGATTCGGGTGACGCCACAGTAGTGGTAATCTCTCCGAGAGATGGGGTGGAGGCATATGATGCTGTTTACGGCACTCAGGGTGTTGTACGACCCGCAGGGGGTCAGGGCCACGGAGACCCCGGTGAGGGGCGACCTTTGAGAGGTCATGTCATCACAGATAACACCCCGGGTGTTTGTCGCCTAATGAAAGGCGGGGCCAAGGCTGGCCCCAGTATAGGGCGACCTTTGAGAGGTCAGTGTGGTAGCACTCATAGTGCGGATCGATCCTTAGGGGGTCATATTATCCCTAAGACAGGACGGCCTTTGAAACGTCAGGTGAGTAGTGACGTAGTTTAAAATCCAGCAGAGGTTTTTTCACGCAGTCAGGAAGACAGGCTCCCCACGGTGGGGGATCTGTATCACATGGATAAGTGTATAGCGTTGGGTACGTGGAATGAAAATGAGAGCTCGTACAGCTCAACTTGGCGAGAATTGGAGGCCACGAAAAGAGTACTTTTGTCCAAGATCGACAAGGTAAAAGGTAAACACGTTAAGTTGTTGACGGATAACAAGAACGTTTGTTCTATAGTGAAGGTGGGTAGTAGGAGGTCAGATCTACAGAATATCGCCAGAGAGGTAAATGATATGTGCGATGCAAATAGCATAGACATTAGTGCACAGTGGTTACCCAGAGGCATGAATGAGACTGCTGATTATTTAAGCAGATGCAAAGATGCTGACGACTGGTCAGTACAGGCTTGGGTTTTTGAGTTATGTGAGGCAGCATGGGGACCACACAAAATTGATCGTTTCGCCACAGATTACAACAGTAAGTGCATACGGTTTAATTCCAAGTGGTGGTGTCCAGGCACGGAAGCCATGGATGCGTTCACTGTAGGGTGGCAAGGGGTTAACAACTGGGTCGTTCCACCTCCGAGACTGGTTGTTCAGGTTTTGGTCAAAATGAGGGACGAGTTGACATGTGGGACGCTTATCGTTCCTCTATGGAGAAGCGCGGCTTATTGGCCCATATTATGTCCCACAGAGGGGGTGTTCGGTCATTACATTGTAGACGTTCGTCTATTGTCGAACAGGGGTGTCACGTTGAGGGGGCGGGGCAACAACGGGTGTTTCGGAGTCGATGTTTTGGCTTTTGAAATGTTGGCCCTGAGGTTAGATTTTAGGAATTGAAATCAGGTTACGGTATAAGCTATACTCTATATTTTGTTCGTGTGTTTTGACAGGCATAGGACTGAGGGGATCCATAGATGATGCGATCAAGGCCTCTGGGGTCACGGAAGGCTCTCCACTATACAAGATGGCAGACGGTATGGCGGAGAGGCTATTATTGAGCAAGAGTGCAAGCACCAACATCAAATATTACGGAGCATTCAAAAGGTGGGAGCGTTTTATTACTGAACACGGATTTACAGCTCTCCCTGCGAGTCCTATCCATGTGGCATTGTATTTAAACTTTTTGTTGGGAAACGGTTCTACTTTCGCGACGGTGTCAGCAGCAGTGTATGCCATTAAATGGGTACACAGAGTGAACGGACGCGAGGATCCTACATGTAACTCATTTGTGCAGAACTTAGTCGAGACGTCTAAACGTGTTGCTAAAAAGCCTACACGCAAGAAGGAACCGGTGACATCGGACATTCTTATTGATTTATGTGAAATGTTTTCATGTTCAGATGACTTGATGGTGGTTAGGGACCTTTCAATGATATTAATATCTTTTTCGGGGTTTTTACGTTTTAACGAGCTTAGTGCTTTGCGTTGTTCGGATGTTAAGTTTTCCGGAGACCATTTTACGCTAATTATTAGAAAAAGTAAGACGGACCAGTATCATTTCGGTAGTGACGTGGTTATTAGCAAGGGTATCACGGTCGCGTGTCCATACACAATGTTGACGAAATACGTTAATTTGGCGGAGATAGATTTGGAATCCGACGAATTCTTGTTCAAGCAAGTCTACCGTTCCGGTAAAGTATGTAAACTTATTAGTAAGAATAAGTCACTTAGTTACACCGGAGCAAAAGAGGCAATCATGAAGCGAATCAAGCTTGTTTCGGGCGAAGGGAACTTCAGTCTGCATTCGCTCCGATCAGGGGGGGCTACCCTGGCTGCGAATAACGGCGTGAACGAACGCTGTTTTCAAAGGCACGGTCGGTGGAAAATCCCAGTCGAGCAAAGACGGCTACGTTGCGGATTCTCTTGAGAATCGTTTGTTAGTAACACAAAAATTAGGTTTGTAAAGAAAAAAATAAAATAAAAAAATATTACAATCGTTCTCCTTGCCCTTTCTTTGTAATTTCTCGAAGCACGACAGGCTAGTCCGGCAAATGAGTATTTGCGTGTTGTGTTATTTATTTCGGATTGGAGGTGAAGAGAAGACTTAAATATTCTCGCGGTTCGACAGTATAGAGAGAATTATTTGTCTTCTCGGGCACGGAGATATCGTGCAGGCGGTTTGCCACGTGGGAACACGGGTGTGTAGCGTGTATACGCTGTAGTGGTCATTCTCTAGCTGTCTATCGTATAGCGCGGTCACGGCTAAAAATTCAATTTCGGCCTATATAAAGGCCCGGTCACACAGCCTTTCGCGTCTGTACCATGAGACCTTGGTAAGGGCTGGTGTCAGTATCTGCACAATTTCATCGAACATGGCAGGTGGCATTCTCATGAAGTTCTGGAAGGCCCTTGGATCTTCATTACGGAGCTCCACCATGAGACGATCGTACAGCCCCAGCTCAGGTCTCCTGCCAATCCAGTCGCGCACCCAGATGTTCCGGACCACCCTCCTCCTCCTCCTTCGTCTTCTTCTGTCAATGAGGAGCTGATGGACCTGTACCACTTGGTTCTGATGCTGCTGGAGCAGCAAGACGAGGTCATTACGGTGACGGGGATCCATGTTCACCCCTTGACGTCTGGAGCACAACTGACGAATGCTCGGCAAATCGCGCTTTTTATATACCTAAAATCAGACGTTGTACGGACGCGATTAGGCCGTGGACAATCGTATTTGGGACGTGTACAAGACGCAATTGAACGTGATTAGGCCGGTATTGGGGCGCGCTGTTTACGCGGAGAAAGGCGTTTGTCCGTGTTTACACGCGGTACACACGCTAATGCACGTGATAACAACGCGGTACAGACGCGGAACAAACGTGCTATGACCGTGCTCCACCCGCGATTACCCGCTAAAATTTCGCGTCCTACCGCGTGTAACCACGTCTTAACCGCGGCCGTAGCACGTCCTAGCACGTTCGTTCCGCGTCTGTACCGCGTCTTTACCGCGTGTGTACCACGTGTACCGCCCCCGATTACCCGCGGTCTAAATTTTTGGGCAGCCCAAAACTTTTTCGCGCGGCCAACCGCGTGTGAATTTCTTACCGCGTGTAACGACGGGTAAAGTACGGCTGTATCGCGTCTTTATCGCGACCTCAAAGCGTCCAACAGCGTCTGCTTCACGGGCAGAAAT